TGTATGTATGTATGTGTATGTAAGTATGTATATTATACATATATATTTAAAATGCACATGTGTTTGTTACTCAATACGTATATATCTATATATATATATGTATATATATATATATGCACACCTGTTCGTTTGCATGCATGTGTATATATATATATGTTCATATACATACATACATACATACATACATACATACATACATACATACATACATACATACACACATCTATACATATAAATATATGTATACATAACTATACATAAAAATATTCCATACACACACATATACATATATATATATATGTGTGTGTGTGTATATATATATATACTACCTGTGCAGGGCTGCCACAGATACTTGTACTAGCTGAGCGGGTAACCTTAAACATCTGTGGGTTCGTACAAACCTACCATGACGAGGTTAGCCTTCCTGAAACCAGAAGACTTGCCTCCCGGAACCCTCAACCCTGAGACTAGCTTTCTGTGGTTTGTGGAAGTCTTGTGGTGGGTGGTTGAGATGGAACGTCTTGTTAGCGGCACATATGTTGAAAGTCATACTGTTCTTAAGGCACGAATGCCAATGACTGCATTTCGGCATCCAGGATTTTGGAAATTCCCTGCTGTTGGCCTCTCTGGTTGAACATGTCCATCTTGGTGTCAATGGTTCCAGTGGCGTGAGTCGTCATCGCGGTCGTCGTCGCCATCCTAGCACCCGCGCCACCAGTAAGAGCACTCGTCGTCTTCGTCGTGCCGTCGCCTCCCAGAGTGGAGATGCAGCAGGAGGAAGCAGAGAAGGATAATCTATTTCACAAAGGGTATCTTGCACTCACCGCTGCAAAGCAAGTCAGTGGTCACTTCCGTCAGAGAGATGCGGAGGCACGCAGATGCTCGGAAAGACGAGATCACGCCCTTGGCAAGTGAAGGCGCCTTGGACAGCACAGTGCTTGTACTTTGGTTTGGTCTTCTCCACCAAAAGCTTGTTCTTTGTGACTGATTATCCAAACCCGACTGTGACTGTTAGTTAGTCCGACATTGCCGGAACGTTTCTCGCAGCCAAGGACGAGAGAAGACAGATGTTTCCACTGGTCAGCTTTCACCGCAGCTTGTGCAAAGTGCAAGTCTGAGATGGAAGATGCCATTGGTAGCTTTGTCATGGTTTGGTGGATATACAAGTAGCAGGCACCCGAACTTGGATGTGAGCTGCCTAGACAGCCCCTAACCCCGACCCTGAGTCGCTTTAGCAACCATCTGATTTTTGTACCATCACGGCAAAGTCGTGAGATGTCTCTTTTAAGTAGATTCCATAGTGCTGCCCAGCTGGGCAGCTAGCTGCCTCCGGCTTGTAATTTGGAGAAATTCGTGAAGTTTACACGGCAAATTGAAGAGATCTCTTCGCACGGCCTTACATTGGCCTTTGCATTGATGCTTGCTTGGGCGTGTGTGCAAAGCCTGCGGAAGACCCGCAGACAGTCACAACCATGGAGAGCCCACGCCTTCAAGACCAAATCCTTGAAGCCAACAGCCAATACCACGCGGTTGAAAACTGCCTGCTCACCCAATTGGGTGTCGATGGGGCGATGCCTCCGCGTTCCAACCTCATCAGTACTACAGTGGCCGCACCCACAGCCTCAGCATTTTCCCGTCTACGCAATTCAGATCCCGACCCACTAAAGAGAAATCTCGACATGCCCCAAACTGAACTCCTCTGCCATAGGATGGTCTGAGGGTGTCAGGGCTGCCATTGGAGAGCCGAAAGTTTCAACTTTCCTCTTCAGAGTGCAGGGCTTTCAGTACGTTTCACCACAGGGAATCTCTGCGCGCACTTCTTGGCTTCAAGAGCAGATAGGTGATTCCACCTATCCATGATTCAGCCAGTTTAAAGAAAGGCAGGCTCCGCTAATTCCGTACCCAAGTATGATGAGCTCCGAGGTTTAGGGTTTAGGGGCTGTGGAACTCTGAGCCTGGTAAGCTTTTCTGCCTAGACCCAGAGAGTTGCCATGGCACTCTTTGCCCAGGTCGGAAGTCTGCAGTCTTGAAGGTTCAGGGTTTAAGGGGTTTAAAGGTTCAGGGTTTAAGGGGTTTAAGGTTCAGGGTTTAAAGGGTCTAAGGCTCAGGGTTTAGGGTTAACGGTTTTAGGGTTTAGGCGGGCAGTCTTGATGGCGGCAAACAATGTTGTGCTCTGCCCTTGGTTGTTTCTTCTTCCGCAGGTACACTCTATCCCAGTCTTGCGTCCGATTGTAATGTATGCAAGACATAGAAAGAAACCATACTCAGCTATGGTACACTGTGCTAGCTAGTCTTGGCTAGCGGAGAGACTGTGTTTGTACAAAGACGAGTTTGCTGGAACAAAGCAGAGCTTAGCACGCGCAGCTTGATGTGCTTCGGCTTTGCAGGCACACCTAGATACATCAGCTACGACATGCACACACCGTTGTGAAGACGATGTGTGTACGTACGTTTATATATGTCTATTGTGGAGCTGTGCGTGTCTATGCATGATATATGCTCTTAACCCCCGAGCCACATTCTCTGACTTTCAACCGTGCAAGGCCTTTGTCCAGGGTTCAGCGCCGCCGGTGCTTCCTGTCTCGAGGCTGGTTCGGACAGATACCCTTTTGATTTTGGGTTATCAAGCCTGGTTAGGTTTAGGATTTCGCGGTTTGGGGTTCCTGTTCTAGTTTGCTTTTGACAGGGAGCTCCGATCTTGAATGGTTAGCGCTTTGTCGAGCTCTGCTCAGCGTGAAGGAGCATAGACCTTGCAGATTTCAAGGATGGTCATAGCTACCATGAGCAGGTGGTATCGTTCTGGAACTGCAGCGATCAAGTAGCACCCACTTCGTTCATACTTCGACATACTTAAAACTTCCAAGTCCTAGACCCCGCAACAAACAAGACCATCGGTTAGAATCCTGCACGTCTCTTGATGGTCGCTACGCCGCCACCACCACCACCAACAACAACAACCAAAAACAACATTAAACAGCAACGCCACCATGACCGCCCCGTGACCATCGTTATCAGCAGGCATAGTCTTCAGTCAACGTCATCATCATCATCATCATCAACATCATCTCCAGCCCATGATAATCGTCATCCTGCTCCTTCTCCGCATTGTCGTCATCGTCGTCACCTTGGCCATCATTGCTGTACCCGTCACAGCATTCATGTCAATCTCGCGCATCAGAAGTGTCAACCCGCCACCCTGAAGCCTACTGAGACAATAATCTATATAATCTGTATATATATATATATATGTTATGTGTGTGTGTATGCATATAGGTATACAAACAACATATGCATACATACAGATATATATATATATATATATGTGTATATGTGTATATATGTATATCTATCTGTATATATATATATATATATACACATATATAGAGAGAGATATGAAAGGTTGTCCTCGAAGCCTGGTCGGCCACTCCATGACTCTCCCCATCGAGGCCTCGATCGGGAGTTTCGGATTTGGGGTTTAGGGTTTGAGGATTGCGGTCAAGGGTTTACTGTTTAGGGTGCTTGATTTCGGCCGTAGGACTTCAGAGGGTCTTGCCTGCTGCTTGCATCAAGGGCTCGATGTGTCCGGCAGATCAGGCTTCTTGCTTTCGAGGGGCCAGCAGTCAGAGAACCCAATACCCCTTAGTTAAGGAATATACCTTAAATCACAATATGAAGGCTCCTATAATTTACGGTATATTCCTTAATTAAGGGGTATTGGGTTCTCTGGGTAGTCTTGAATTTGAGAGTTTGGGGCACAGGCTCAGGGCTCAAAAAGCCTGTGTTGCTAACGAGCCGTGTTACTCGTTTGCCATCAAACGGCAATTGCTGTTGCCATCAAACGTCAGGCTAAGGCGCATCTAGTGGTATGAAGTGAATCCTCAAGCTCGCGCTACTACGTGCCGACTTCGCATCTCTACTTCATGCTCCGGAGTCAAGCAGTTCGATCGACCATCGTATAAATCAAGCCCTGTGCAAGGTGTGCCGTCAGCGTTTGCTGCGGCCGCCACAGTTTTGGTGGCAGGCGTCGCCGCGAAGAGGCGGTGCTGGGAGTGTAAATTAAATAGCTTCGCATGAGGCTTCAGGTATGAAGAGTGCGGGGATGTTCGCGTCTGACCATCCAGCTGCATTCGTCGCACTTTGCCGCTCATCATAATGATTTCGAAGTTCAGACAGCGCATGTAACACATGTCCAGGGTTTAGGGGTTGAGGGTTTAGGGGTTAAGGTTTTGGGGTTTTACCATATACCATATGACTAGGGCCAAGATGCAGTAGCCTTTCGTAAGTAACTGGGCTTGTCATGGAACCCAAAAGGTCTGCGGCAAGCAAAACTCCCCAAACAGCCTAAACCCTAAACCCTAAACCCTAAACCCTAAACCCTAAACCCTAAACCCTAAACCCTAAACCCTAAACCCTAAACCCTAAACCCTAAACCCAAACAGAGCCTCAAACGCAGAGATAGTCTCGTGACACTGAAACTCACGGTGTAGATCCTGAATCAAAATCTTATTTTACATGGTACAAGTTTTGTGTTATACATATACTGTTATATATATATATATGTATGCATGTATGTATGCATATATATATATATGTATATATATATATATATATTACATAATCTAGGCCCAAAACATTAAATTCTAAATCCCTCCTCCAACAACCCGCTGCCAGACGGTCGCCCATGACACGTTCAGCAGTGGCCATGAGGGCCAGTGTCCCAGTCGGACTCGTGAGTGAAAAATCATCGTAGTAGTACAGACAATGCGGTGTTTAGATTTTAATTTAAATGCTTCGTGTCGTCCGCCTCGGCCCGGCTGTACTTGAAGCAGGTGCAGTGTTTCGATAGGTCACACAGGTGAGGTCTTGAGTGAATGATCCCATTTGCGTCAGAAGGCTTTTTAAATGTCAGTATTTGTTTTCATGCTGAGGCTCTGGGCAATACTCCCACGCGAAAGGTGGCACATTCCCTGCAAATCCAATAGACGTTACTATAGTAATCCTATCACTGTTGTCCGCCATCCCACAAGATCCACAGCTAACGTAGTTTCTAAGTTTTTTCGATGAGTTTCATGCAAAAACGTTTCGAGTGGAAACTCAACATCTGGGAGTTAGAAACGCGATTATCGCGAGTCATGCGCGAAAGCGAAGAAGCGTGGGTGACACGTGCTGGCACGCTTGATTTTTGGCCATCCCGCAAGATCCATAGCTAACGTAGTTTCTAAGTTTTTTCGGTGAGTTTCATGAAAAAACTTTCCGAGCGGAAATTCAACATCCGGGAGTTAGAAGCGCGATTATCGCGAGTCATGCGCGAAAGCTAAGAAGCGCGCGCGGCCACCGATTAGA